CTGGCTCATCCCTCCTCCAGCACTCCTCCTGCTTGCTCCTCGTTCCCCTCCTTGTTGATCCTCCCCCCTCCATAGGAATACTTGTCCTTGACGCAAACGTTCTCAAAACAACGGATGGTATCAGGACTCCGTGACACTGTCAGACTCAGCCCAGGCCGACGGGTCGCTCGCAAGGGTGCGAATTTTCGCCTCCCTATTCCTCGTCCTCCCCTCTTCAGCCTTCCTCCCTCCTCGTCCTGCCTTTCTCCCCCTTCTACTCCTCCTGCGCAGCCAGCCAGCGTCCTCGGCGACCATCGGCAAAGCTCAAACATGTTTGCCAGCATGGGCCAACCATTGAGCTCTTGCACCCTGGGTGTGCAAGCTACGTAGTTAACGCCATGTGGTGCATAATGTGTGCGCTGCAAACAACGTGTTGCAACCAACGTGTGGTGCAAGCTATGTGGTGCAAGCAGCGTGGTGCAAGTCATGTGGCGCAAGCTTTGTGTGGTGCAAGCTATATGGCGTAGGCTATGTGGTGGAACGTCTGTGGTGGCAGCTACGTGGTGCACGCTAGGCGGTGTGAGCTTTGAGGCGCAAGCGAAGTTGTGCATGTTATATAGCGCAAGCAATGCAGTGCAAGCAACGCGAGGCACCCACGAGGCGCCCACCGCCGCTGGGAGAAACCTCGGAGGACCCAGCCACCTCACGGGGCACCCGCGAGGCGTCCACGGCCGCCGACACGAAACTTTAGAAGACCCGGGCAGCGCACGGGGCGCCTGCGAGGTGCCCGAGGCCGCCCACGGGGCGAACCTTCGACACACCCGGACGGTGCACGGAGCCCCCGCCCACGAGGCGCCCACGACCGCCCACCAGTCGAAACCTCGACAGACCTAGCCAGCGCTCGGGGTTCCCACGAGGGTCGCCCGCGGCCGCCCGCCAGGCATCATCTCGACCGATCCAATTACTTATCATCAGAGAAACTATCCTGTAAGCACAGCTCGCGGAAGAAACCTCTCAGTCCCTTCTGCTCCCTCCTCCCTCCTGCCTCCCCTCCTCCTCCTCCTCCTCCTCCTCCTTCCTTTCTCCTACCTCCCCTCCTCCTCACCTTCCCTAATCCTTCCTCCTCCCTCCTTCTCCCGCCTTGCTTCCACCTCCTCCCTCCACCTCGCCTCCATCCTCCCTCCTTGGGCGTCTCCTTGGGGGCCATGGCCGCCGAGGAGACCGGCGGCCGCACCGGCCGGCCCTTTCCCAGAGGAGGGGGGGCGCGGGGGCTATGTACAGGCCCTGGCTCGGGGAGCGCGAGGCTCGACCCCTGGGCCAAAATAGCTGCGGACGATCCCGGACCCAGAATTCCAGCGCCCAGCTCAAAATCACGCTACCGAGAACCCACCGCACTTATATTATCTCTGCTGCGGTGATGCAGCCATGCCGTGCGGTTAGGATCGGGAAACCATTCCGTGCGCACCCCGCCTGGTGTAGAGAGGGGAAGACCATATTAGAATGGAAGAAAAGGATGGGGAAGAACGGAATGACATGTAATGACGTCACAACCCCTCGTCCGCAGACCTGGCGGCAGACGCCACTGCGTCTGCACCCCGCGATGGAGTCGACAGCTTCGGACGAGACCCAGCCCGGGACGCGGTCGACTGCTCCGGGGCCCCTTCTACTGTCGAAAGAAATGGTGCGCCTGCCGCGTCCTGTGACCATGGCCCGCAGGACGCCCCCAACCCCCTGCGCATCCCCTGCGGCGTCGAGATACGCCTGCTAGCCTGTGGCCCATGGCCCGCATGGCGCCCCCACACTCCCCTGCGCACCCACGGTGGTGTCGAGAAACAGTCGCGCCTGCGAGCCTGTGGGCCATGGCCCGCGTGGTGCCCCCGCCCGCCGCGCACGCCGTGTGGTGTCGAGGCAGAGTGCCACCTCTGCTAGCCTGCTTGGCTCCCCCACCCCCCGCGACCCCTCTCGAGGTCTAGAGGTTACCGCGCCTGCTAGCCTGTCTCCGTGCCGCTGCGTGTCGAAGTATGCGGGTGGATCATTTCGGCGAGCCCTCGCCCGCGCAACCGATCTGGCGACGAGGAAGTGCAGCGCCTACCGTGCCCCTGCGAGCCTGGCGCGAGTGGGGGCCCCGCCCCGCGGACCCTCTCCTGTGCCGAGGACATACTACGCCTGCCACGCCTTGCGACCCTGAAGCGGATAGAGACCGTGTTCAGGGACCTCCGCCTGCGCACCCCCTGTGGTGCCAAGAACATGCGGCGCCTGCCACGCCTTCTCAGCCTGAAACGGATGCAGACCGCGTTCAGGGACCACCCCCTGCACATTCCCTGTGTCGTCGAGAAAATACAACGGTTGCGCGCCTTGCGAGCCTGAGACAGATAGAGACCGCGTTCAGTAACCACCTCCTGCGCACAATTTGCGGCGTTGGGGAAGTGCTGCGCCTGGAAAGCCTGGGAGCCTGAAGCACAGAAAGGCCGCGTTCAGGAACCACACCGTGCACGCACCCCCTGTGGTGTCGAGAATGTGCGGCGCCTCCCAAGCCGTGCGAGCCTGCAACGGATAGAGACCGCGCTCAGGGACTACCCCGCGCACACCCTGTGGTGTTAAGCGAATGTCACGCCTGCCACGCCTTGCGAGCCTGAAACTGATAGAGGCCGAGCTCAGGAACCACCTCCTGCGCACCCTCTGTTGTATCGAGGAATTGCTACGCCTGCCACGCCCCCTGAGCCCACCCTGTGGTGCCGAGAAGCTGCCAAACCTGCCGCGCCCTGCGAGCCTGAAGCAGATAAAGGCCGCGTTCAGTAACCACCTCCTGCGCACCCCACGTAGTGTCGAGAAAGTGCGGCGCCTCCGAAGCCTTGTGAGCATGCAACGGATAGATACCGCGCTCAGGGACTCCCCAGCGCACACCCTGTGGTGTTAAGCGAATGTCACGCCTGCCACGCCTTGCGAGCCTGAAGCAGATGGAGGCCGAGCTCAGGAACCACCTCCTGCGCACCCTCTGCGGTGTCGGGGAATCGCTACGCCTGCCACGCCCTGCGAGCCCGAAGCGGATAGGGACAGCGTTCAAGGAACACCCTCTGAGCTCACCCTGTGGTGTCGAGAAACTGCCACGCCTGCCTCGCACTGCGGGCCTGAAGCAGATAGAGGCCGTGTTCAAGAAATTACCTCCTGCGCACCCCCTGCGTTGTCGAGCCACGCCTGCAACGCCGTGCGAGCCTGAAGCGGATAGGGACCGCGCTCAAGGATCACCCCCTGCGCATCCCCTGCGATGCCGAGAACGTGCCACGCCTGCCGCGCTTTGCGACACTGGGGCGCATAGCGTTCCAACCCCTTGTGGAGCCCCTCTGGTTTCGAGAAAGTGCCGCGCCTGCTGCATTTTGCGGCATGGACGTGCGGAGCGCAGCGGATGTAGTTGATGCCTGTGCTTCTCCTCCACCTCATCCTTTCGGTTTGTCTTCCTCGACCCTGCATGGGGACCACGCTGAGAAGCTGGCGACTAACTTCACTATGGCATGGGGTTCCTCGGTCGAGTAGGCAACTTGCAACTGTATGGCTCGCTGGTGTGTGTGTGTGTGTGCGCGTGTGCTTGTGTGCGTGTATGTCGCTGTGTGCACATATATACCTATACGACCACCCTTCGGGTGATAAGGAGGTTCGGGGGGGGAACCAACGTCTCACTCGATCGGTCTCACTATCGATCTCAGTATCGATCTCACTATCGGTCTCGCTCGATCGATCTCACTCGATCGATCTCACAATCGATCTCACTCGATCTATCTCATTCGATCGATCTCACAATTGATCTCACAATCGATCTCACAATCGATCACACAATCGATCTCACATTCGGTCTCAATATCGATCTCACTATCGATATCACAATCGCTCTCACAATCAACGTCATCATCATCATCATCATCATCATCATCATCATCATCAACAACATCATCAACATCAACATCATCACCAACATCGTCATCATCATGAGGGCACCGTCATCATCATCATAAACATCATCATCAACGTCAGCATCATCATCGGGACAACATAAACATCATCATCATCACCATCATCATCTCATCATCAACATCATCATCATCATCATCGGGACACAGTCATCGTCATCATCATCAGCAGCATCATCATAACCATCATCATAATCGGGACACCATCATGATCACCATCGTTCTCATCATCAACATTACCATCAACATCGTCATCATCCTCGGGACACCATCATCATCATGATCATCGCATCATCATCACCGACATCATCATCATCATCATCATCATCATCATCATCATCATCATCATCATCATCATCATCATCATTGGGGCACCATCATCATCATGAGCAGCATCATCATCAACATCGTCATTATCATTATTATTATCATCGGGACACCATCAGCATCACCATCATCATCATCACCATCATCAACATCATCATCGGGACACCATAATCATCATCAACATCATCATCATCAACACCATTATCGCCGGGACACCATTTCCATCAACAGCATCACCAACATCATCGGAATCATCATCATCATCATCATCATCATCATCGGGACACCATCATCGTCATCATCATCAACATAATCATCATGAGCATCATCATCCTCATCATCGGGACACTATCATCATCATCATCGACACCATCATCAACATCATCATCATCTTCATCGGGACACCATCATCATCATCATCATCATCATCATGCCATCATCATCATCCTCGCGGGACACCGCGGGACACCGGCGGGACACCGCGGGACACCGCGGGACACCGCGGGACACCGGCGGGACACCGGCGGGACACCGCAGGGCCCCGGCCGCCCGGAAAGGAGTCATTTGGTCCGGCCGCGCCTCAGCCACACGGGACACCAGCGGGACACCGTCGGGACACCGCGGGCCCCCGGCCGCCCGGAAGGGAGACATTTGGTCCGGCCGCGCCTCAGCCACAGGAGACTTTCTCTCGCCCGCCCACGCAGCTTCGCCTCGCCCGCACGGCACGCACGA